AATCAGTAAGACTGATAATATATGAAGAATATTTCGAAGTTATATAATCTATAATATTTCAATATTGAACATTCTGTTTGCTGTATGAGTAGGTGTGTTTGAGAATTTGTTGAACAAGATAGTCATCCACCTGTGCCCAAAATATGGTGAAATGCTACTATTAATGATGACGATTTCATATTCAAAGTTCTTCAGGGCATCTGCGTTACTATTCACTGAATAGACTGGGTTTAATGTTACTTAGTTGGTAGCCACGGGTTTGTTAGAAGTGAACTCATTTTCATTTTGCTGATAATTAATGAGAGAAGCAAAGGTGACACATGTGAAACTGAGTTTTTGGAATAATAATGATAGCCAGTGTTTTGTTTACAGTACGTAAGAATTAGAACCTCACTGAGAACAATCGTCCAAGACTGCTTGATGTTCAATTGCTCTTTGGTTGTTATTGATAAGTTACACTATATGTGATTAATTGCTTAAAAACGTTGTGTCTTATTTCTTATAAATAGCCGATATTACTAAATAAACCAATAAAGACTTCAACACTCTACAAGTCTATTCAAGACTTGAGGTTATTTGAGACAGTTGGCAAGAAGCCGTCGATCTAGTTTCTATGCTTAATGAAACTTGCCCGTAAGGCCCATCTGCAGTCTAGAACGAAATTATATCCCCTAGAAAATTCGGACTGACATGATCCATCGTTGAAGTTAAATGGATTGTAACTGGGTTATTCATGCTAAACCAACACTAAAACTGAGGACTAGACACACGCCATTCATTACACCCCAGTAACTAATCAATGAAGCTATCACATTTTGGCAGGCTTCACAACAAGCTTGCCGCTTTCCAGCAGGGATAGTGGTAACAGAAATCACTAGTTACCGACAACAGCAAGAAGTTACTTGCCCAAAGTTATATTGAGAAGTCATGACCAATGACGTCCACCAAATTGGGTGTGACGATACTGATTGACAGTAGCGTCATGCATCATAAACTGGTAGAAGATAGAATTTATGGACTGCATATTAAATGCCACCTGATTGGCTGGATGATTAACGAGGTCACCTAGTAATCTGAAAGTTCTCGGTTTCATTGTTGGTGGGATCGTCGATGTCAACTCCTAAGCTAGTTAATTATCTCAGCAACAAAATGAATATTTTAAAGATATGTTATTAGAATTTTAGATAAAAAATCCCTCAAATTGCGTTAGAAACTAAATAAAGACTGAATAAACAAGTTGAGTGACGTAATCTAATTGATGGGGTTTAGTAGAGCTCAGCTGAAATTAAAACTGAACAAAAGTCAAGTTAACAACAGTGGTAATAAGTGGTAAAGATTTAACAAGGGGTGGGTGGAGGCAGAAAATAGTTTACAATTAAGAAACAAATAAGCAAAAAAAAAGACTAAACAAAAATTACGTATTTGGTTTTCAGATAGGTCAGGCCCACTGTATATTTAATGACTGAACAAACTTCTTCTTTTGCATGAATAATTCTGAGTTTTAATATGTGAATTGCCATCGCTTCTGCAGGGTTTAAAGAAGTTTGATTCTTACTCTTTTAGCAAGATTCCCACGTGTTCTCTAGATGATTTGAAAGTTACTTTAGGGGTTTGCTTGGTGTTCCGATTCGAACAGGTGTTGCAGAATAGAGTTTCGGGGGAGGGGTCTTTTTTTCTCCTCTATAAAACCATGACTGTGGGTAAATGCTCGATGATAGCAAACGCTGGGCATGGTCAACATACCTAGCTCCAATTGAGCAGGTGAATTGACAGATGCACACTGATGAGGCCAAATAGTGTTAGCTTATCCTTCGTCTTTTTCTTGCTTGTTTGTTTCTTAGTTCTATAATATTTTCTTCCCCCACTCACCCCTTATTACCACTGTTGTTAACTTGACTTCTTAAGTATTGGTTTGCAAGAATTCGATTAATTGGTTACAAGATTTCATCATGAGCTGACATTGTTTATAGAACCACTGAAAAACCAGCAGGGTGTATGGATAGCTGTCTCGTACTAGTTTGGTACTCTTCGGCAGCGCTCAGTCATCCGGTTTCAAAGCCAAGACCTTCTGATTACAAGGCCAGCTAGCTCGCAGACCATTTAGCAGCCACTGGAACCCGATCCAATTGCCAGTTCGTGGATTCTAACTCCTGCCAATTCACGACATAGCACGACTGCTAGCCAATACCTTCGGTGAGTATTTATCCTCCCACCCGAACTACTGCACCCTGGTGGTCACGACGTCCCACTAGAACTCCAGGTAAACTGCCTACCTAAATAGGGCCAGTCGCTAGTGAATATCTCACTGATATTCAAGTATTGACTTATAGGGATTTGATTGATTGATTTGTTACAGGATTTCATCATGAGCTGACATCGGTTAGAGAACCATGGGAAAACAAGCTGGGAGAGTAGGGAACTTGACTTTTGTTCAATTTTGATTTTGACTGAGCTCTACTCAACCGTGTCAATTAGATGACGTCACTCAAATTGCTTATTTAATCTTATTTTAGTTTCTACTCGATTAACGCTTTCTACATCACGTAATTTTTATCTAAAATTTTGCAACTCTAATGACAAATCTTTGAAATATTCGCTGCTTTGCTAAAGCAACTTACTGCGTATATATCCGATTGTAAAGCTTGCGAATGATATCGACGAAAATAGGAGTAACTTTCCGCTGAACGACTTTTCTTTCACATAACATAAAAATATCATCATAATCTTATTTTTATTTTGATTACAGCTTGATTTTACACTGTATTTTGGATTTTCAGCATGGATATCGGTAGCCCAAATTTTGCAGGCCGACCATAGATATCAGGTGTGCGTCGGCAGGGGATCGAACCTCGGACCATGTGCATGGTCGGCGAGAGTTCTAACCACTGCGCCACTGACGCACAGTTCATCTGCTTTTTGTGACGACAACAACGATTGTGCGTCAGTGGCACAGTTGTTAGAACTCTCGCCGACCATGCACATGGTCCGAGATTCGATCCCCTGCCGACGCACACCTGATATCTATGGTCGGCCTGCAAAATTTGGGCTACCGATATCACATGCTGAAAATCCCACGCTTGTACCAAAAATACAGTGTGGAATCAAGCTGTAAATCAAAAATAATAAAAAGTAATAATAATAAAAAAAATGTTTCTCAAAGGTGAGAATGACTCATTTATGCTGATGAAATCAACTCAACGTGTCCTTTAGCGATTTGCTAATCTACTATTTATTCATTTTTTTAACTGATAATTTTATAATTTTGTAACAGTTTGACATGTGTAGGACAGCTCCGTGATTGGTTGAAGAAGATAACAAAAAAAGGAATCATTTTACCGCTTCTTTGAAAAAATGCCAAATCATAAAATCAGTGAGTCAAAATAATCAGCTGACTGCTTCATCATATGTATATTTAATCTTTTATGTCATTCAATAATATAATATTATTACTAAAATAAACGGCGTGTACACGTGTTGATCGATGACTGACAAGGTGAATTCGTCTTTTTGCTTGAGTCAGACGTGTCGCTATCATACTCATGTGGTGTGAAAAGCACAAAAGAATGATGATGATGATGATGATGATAGTGGTGATGGCGATGGCCACGATGACTCATAACTTTGCTAATAATAATTTCGCTTGATAAAGATCATTTTTTAATCAAAGTCAACTCAAATTTACCGATTAACACTCTCAACTGGCTACTTGTAAGTATTATGCAATGTGTCAGGGCTGGTCCACGTTCTTATCTGTCTGTCTGTCTGTTTTCGACATAGAACTTTGCACCGATGTGCACCAGTTCAAGTCGCCACACTCCATGGAGCACACAAAGCAAGAGAAAAAAGTAGAAGAAATGCATAATAGAGACAGTAAATAGATGTGTGAGGCAAAGGAATAGTAATAACAAAGAACGATATAGTTTCATTTGAAATCATAAGTCACGAGGAGTGGATGCATCTGCACCACCCATTGAGAACGATTTTGAGCCATATCACCCAATTGTTTCCAGCCATTGGTTTCTACCGTCCCAAGGACCCCAACCAGTCAGGAAGTCTACACCTACCTACATCACTGGCTTAAACTAACTGTTGTATATTTCATTGACTGATGAAGCCATGTTTTGGTTTGACCTCCGCTAGCTCTTTTCCAACCTGACGCTATGTCAGCTAACATTGCCCATTGTCGAGGAAGGCGATGACTAGGCATACTTAACACATGTCCTAACCATCTCAGTCGATGTAGCTACACAGCCTTGTCGATTGATTTCCCCTCCTTACCTAGCACTCGACTGAAGCCTAACCTCAATATTGCTCACCTTAAAATACCACTTCACACACACGGGAAATAGAACGTAGGCACCTATGATCAAAGACAGCTAGCTAGGTCAGGTCTCTCTCACAGCCATAAAGAAGGATGGAGCAAGCTGCCGCTGAGCAGTACACACGCCCACACACAAGCCCGTGGTGTTGAATAAGGTGCATAGAACATAAATCTTCAGGTTTTAATGTCTATCTACACATTAACGTTCAACAGCTAGGCTGAAATTTGACAGCATGTGATCATTAAACTAAGTAAATATACTCTACGCTACCGTATCTCATTGTGGAGTGCAAAATATACTACTCGAATTTCGAAAGATCTACTCCAGAATTAATCGCTAGTGATCGATGGATTTGTATTGATCTAACGGTATTCAGAGGTACTTTAACTAATTCCATGGGAGATTTCGTCATGAAATTTCACCAATTTGACGGCTGCCTACCAACCACACCTTACGTAGTGCAGGATTCAATCCCCAGACAATACACTCTAAAACCTCGATTAGGCACTAGTATGTTCGGTAAAGAAGGAAGGTTGGATGTGAGGCTAGTCATCCCACTCCATGAGAAGAAACACCACTGATATGGCAGCTTTAGAGCTCAAGCTTGAAGCCTAATGTTTTACTTGGGACACAAAAGGATGAAAAAGAGCAGTTAACAGAATAACAAGATATACTTACCACCAGCGTCCTTTAATTTGAGAATTTTGCTCGCCATCATGACTCCCACTTACACTGACATTTGTTGACCCTAATAAAGGGTTATTCATATTAGTCTGATGCGTCACTTTCTCCTCTTCTTGTTCTTGTTTGTGTTCCTGCTGCTGTTGCTTCTGTTTATGCTGACGTTGACGTCTATTTTGACGCGAATAATCCACTAGCGTTCGATTCAATGTATCTTTAATCACAGGAGGTGATGATGTGAAAGAGGTAAATGATGGAAGGTGTGACAATGGCCTCATTTTAGCAGAATATTTTGTCAAAGAAGAATGCATAGGCTTTTGAATCTGTTCCTTATATTGATCTTCTTCTTTGTGTTGACGGAAATTTATCCCGCCATCTTGATTCATTTTCTTTTTATTTAAAAGAACACTGTTAGCATTTTCTTTAGACACAGGTGACATTACTGACGATGAAGACGAAGAGGATCCTTGGGACGATATTACTGATGCATCATCGTAGTAATATTTATCGTGAAAATTTACCGCCGATCTTTGAATCTCTTTCTCTTTTTGAAAAAATGGCGGTGGAGATGAAAAGTCTGATGACATTATCCTATCACTGACTATTTTTTCATTAAATGGTGAAGCCATTGATAAACCACTGGTTAAGTAAGCTTTCTTGGTTAAATAATAATTTCGCGGAAATTTTATCCTACTGCCTATACGATTCGACAGTCGCTCAGCATACTGTGCATAAACTTGATGTAATGAAATAATTGTAATTAATAAGAATTTAGCCAGTATCATTAATTTATTTACCTCCATAATACTGTTGAGCATTTTTCTTTCTGTATCTAGAAGAAATGAAGGATTAAATGAGGTTCAATGTTCAATTGTTCAACGGTTCAATATAAGATAAACATTGTTTGAATTCAAATGAAAGGGATTGCATTTTGTCTCATTCAGTGTATTTTTTTATTTCCGTCAATAAGAAAGGATTACTTCTGTAAATTTAAAAATATTTTTTGACAAAATTAAGATATATACGTGTAGATGATAAATATCCGTGAAATGAATTATTCAATGGTTTCAGTTAAAGCGTTGTTTGTTTACAATGTGAATTGCGTATTGTTTACTATGACGACGAAGGTTGTGTATTTAAGTAGTATTTTATGTACCTGTGACGATGATGACGATAATGATGATTATGATGCTGACGACTACTGTCTCAAACTTCAAACTGTATGACATTATCTTTGAAGGAATAGTAAGAAGCATTTTGTGGAAATTAACTTTATCATGTGCATATATACACATTCTCTCTCTGTGTGTGTATGTGCACAGTGTGTGTGTGTGTGTGCGTGCATACGTAGGGAGGCTGGTGTTCATCAATCTTAGTCAGCATAAATTTTAATGAATTCGTTTAATATTGTCTTATAATAATAATAATTATTATTATTATATGGTTATTATGTATGTTTTTTTAGTGAATAAACGTCAATTTAAAAATGTGCATACAACTGGACAGTATTCATTCAATGGACATTATTTTTATGCATTAATCATGTTGTGCTATGTTTAAATTTGTTGTGTGCTTGCGTGTCTCTCTGTTGTGTGTGTGTGTGTGTGTAGGTTGGTGGGTGCGTGGGTGGGTGGGTGCGTACGTGTCTTCGAATGTGTATTTCTGCTTTAGTACTAATTATAATAAAATTATTCACACCACATTCGAAAGATAAAGTACCTAGACAGTTTATGATTTTTTTTTTCAGTTGTGTGGTAATAGTTTACGCAAGTAGTTACACACATGTGCACACACACACTCATATATTTATGTACACTTACACGCATACACACACATAATTCTACATACAGGCATAGTAACCAATCCAGTGATCATGTGCTTGTCAATCATTTATAAAAAAAGTCTTAACGAAAACTTTTCTTTGGCCTATTGAACTCAACACACATCCACACATACACAGATGCACTCGTAGATCCAGTAACCTGAGTGTGCGTGTATATAGATGTGTGTTTGTGTGTGGATGTGAGTGTGCATTGTGTTGTGTTTCATTTGTGCACAAATGTACAGTAGTTTTGGTCTATCTATGAGTTCAATTCATTATCAACATGGCTAATAATCTTCCACACACACATACACACACATGTGATGTGCACAGGACGTTTCACACAGGACTTGTAGACACTCATCGTCGACACTATTCCATCGAATTAATTCACCTGTCACTGTGTTAATATAAGCCAAAACAGTTAGGCAATGACAAATGTCTTCGACAGTAATAACAATAATAATAACAATAACACCAGCTGATTCTTTAAATATGTTATGCATAAATAAACTGAATTCGATGGGCAGACTAGTCAGAATAGTGACGAGGCTGATGACAATAATGGATTGAAATTAGAATTGTCAAAATGATGAAGCAATGAAGAGAAGAAAATTCTCGCTGTCTCTCTCTCTCTCTCCTAAAACCTTCAAACACGATGAATAATTAGTTAACATTTCATGTAATCTAACTACTGTACCACTGTGATTACTATCCGGATTCATATTAGTTGCTTTTCGTTTCACAATTATAATAAAGTTGATCTGACAGCTGTAACGAGTGATTGCTGACTGTGTTACTTGTCAAATAGGATTATTATTATTATTGTTATCATTAATATTAGGGGTAGCAGTAGTATTCTCGTCTACACCAGCTGTAATTATCACTGACTGATGATTGACACTCTTCACTGTTCAGAAAAACAGTATATCCTTCATCCTTGATGACTACAACTGACGTGTGTCAATCATCGTTGGTACCAGTCTTGATTACAATAACAGGCAGGGATGATTGAAACACAAATTGACAGCTTCAAGTAAATGTATGCAGTAATACTGTTGACTTAAGTAAGCATTTCAGCATTGTGTGTCTGCCTACCTTTAAATAGAAGAAACACAAAATATGTATTATACTACTATGTATATCTGACAGTAGGATGTAGCAGACAACTGTTAAAACTCACACATTTGGTTTTCTAATCTTCTCAGTTTGCAAATAATTTTCACATATCAGATTTCGATAAGCAGTTATATTACAACACTGTAACCTTTAAAGAATTGTTGTGCGTAAAGTTTATCATGAATATGAATTCGTTAATTTCCGAGAGGTTTTTCTTTTGTTGGTGATTCTTTCTGACCAGCCATTTGATAGTCAGTATGAAGTCAGAGAAAGCAGCTTTTGAAACGAGTCTGAAGCCTGTTAGAAAAGTTTTTCGTGAAGCGCTGGTCAAACCTCTGACCCATGTAGAAGTACTGATTAATTTATCATTTATGTTGAAAATCGGGATTTGGTTCTTTAAGTGGAGTGAGGCAGATTTCCACGAAGGTCTGCCTTATCTTTCTGATTTTGGCCTTAAAATTCTCATCTGTGATGAGCGTTGTTGAAACATTGCTGTTTAAATAAGTGAAGAAAGTAACCTCTTCCAAATTTATTCCTTTGATAGAGATTGGTGCTCGTTGTTGTTGTTGTTGCTGTTCGTTGGTTATCATCATCACCTCCATCTTCTCTATGCTCACCCGCAGTCCTGTTTTCCTTGCCTACCTTGGCTTTTTCTGCCAGTTTGCTGGTTTTCACCTGAAAGCCTTCGAGTTTGTGTGTGTGAAAATTAAACGCAAATCACCCCACAGGAAATCCAGATCTTCTAGAGTCTTCCTATCGGTCAGTTCAACGTATTCCTGGTTTCTCACTCGCAGTGCACAGTCTGACGCATAATCTAGTCCGTCACAATTAGAAATATCACCGGTGATAATAGGCAGTCAGCCTGTCTTATTCCTGTATTCACTTCGAGCGCCTCACAGAGTTTTCCACCATGGGTCACCTGACACATGGGATTGACATATAGCCAGCTGTTAAATGAGGTTGATAAATATTTGGGGCACTACACGACATAGTATTGAAGCAGCTTGCAAATTACTTCTTGGTCATCGATGTCTGTCGAAGGTCTTTTCAAAGTCGATGAGGTTTGAGAGTTAGAGGTTCGACTACAATTCTATGCTGTGTTTGAAGACAACGATGCGTAGAGTTGCAATTTGATCAGCACATGATTTCCCTTTCCTGAATCCAGCTTGTTTCAGGCTAGCGGAGTCCTCCACTCAATGCATCTTTTAATCTTTCCAGGATGACTGGATGTTATGTTTTACCTAGCAAGAACAAGAGCATTATTCTGCGCCAGTTCTTTGATAGTTTGATATGGGGAGACATTTACCTAATCAGTATGCACCTTTCTTCCCCTCAAAATGTTTTGGAATAGTGACATCAGCATATCCACTGGGGTCTCTGGATCCGTTTTTCAGCTCTTCAGGAGGAATCTGTTCCAGTCCTGTTGCCTTCCCAGCTATCTTAATCATATAAGTTGATTCCAAACAAACGGAATGTTTGAGGTAATTTTCCTAGGATGCTTTACATCACTGCTTTACTGATACACTTAACCTTACAGTTAATTTGCTTACGGTAACAACCAACCAACAACACCTTGTGATTAGTAAGCATAGAAATTGTTGACCTTTTTTATTTGTTTACTTTCTAAATTTTTAAAATGGTCACAAATAATTTTCTTATCATGGTATTTCAACTTTTATATTATTACGTTTGAAAAATTATCAAATGCAACTCTGTCTACGTCACGTGCGTTATTCAGAGGTCAACTGGCACATGACGGCTGAACTATTTATAAACACATCAATAACACAATATTTCCGACAGTGTATCAGTAAATTATTTCAATTTTTTTTATCGACTATGACTATATTTTGCGTCATTTAATTTGAGGAATGCGGGTCACTCGACAAGACAATCGATTCGTTTGTAAGTGATTAATCGATTTGGCAGAAATGTATTCATTCATTGTGGGATTTTGTTTTGAATGACTAGGGCATTCAAGATCCAGTTATGATGTGAATATACAGGAATTCGCGAAATATACCCATTAATCCCTAAATAAAAACATAGTTACATACATTTAATTCCCTTAGTGAAGAAGAACAGAAAGAAGGGCATACTACAGGTTTTCTGAACATGCACCAAAAAGCCTATGTCTAAAGGGAACAAATGCTTTCAATAGTGCTATAGTCAGGCATCTCCTTGACATAGGTCACGAGGTAGACGTCACAAGACAAAAGAGTTCAATTCTCCTTAAGTTCGCCGACGTAATCTCTATTAAGCAAATGAAACCCGATTTATGCGTTAAGAAAGAAACGGTTATCAGTCTTTCCTTGCCCGGCTTTGTAACTGGATGACGTCATCCTCTCATCTGAATGCGTAATGTCGAAAGTTACAATTGTGTATGATCATTGTTCTTGTTTGGGATAAAGTGTTTATTATTATATATATTATTTGTTTTTACGAGTTTGACCACAGATTGATATCAATTAGAGAACCATTGGTAACCAAGACAAATGTTTCATCCTAGTTTGGGGATCATCGGTGGTACGCACCCACTGGGTTTCGAACCCAAGAACTTCCGGTTACAAGGCAAGCTCGTATAATATTCAACCATTGGGACCTGAATCCTCAATGGCCAGCCTATGAATTCTAATTTCTACCAATTCGTGATTTAGCGTGACCACCCCAGTGGGTGCGTACTGCTGATGATTCCTGAACTCGGATGAAACAGCTGTTTAGTACTCCGTGCTGGTTTCCAATGGTTCCCTAACTGATATCAATCCATGGTCGAAGTCGTAAAAACAAATTTAATCCTTACAAACCAGCTTTTGAATAGATATATGATTATTGTATTGATTTTTGTTTAAAAATGAACTCTATGCAAGTATGTTAAAA